ACGGGACCTTGTGACCACACTAGACTCTGGCGACGATAGCGACGAGAGTGGTGCTCCTTGCACTGCCGTACCTCCGGCCGCTCTGGCGCTGATTGGCATCAAGCCTCTGGAGCCTATGTTGCCTGCGGCAGACGCATATAGTCTATCAAACAAGAGGTGGTATGTCCGTGCAGTCCTCCTCCTCGTCATATATCTGCAGACCGTCCATCATGTGACGTTCCGTGCGTGCGGCATCATGCTCTTCACGATCCGTGCTATCTTCCTCGGGAGCGAGGACGCGTCGTAGGAGAATAGAGCGTGTTTATTATGTAATTACGATTACAATTTTAATATAGAATAAGATTATACCCTATCCAGCAACTGAATACATGAGGAAGAGGAGAGATGACTACTCGTAGAAAGTAAAGATACTCACAGCTAGTCAAGGAACACATAGTACAGATTATCAGATGTAGCCAGAGCTAGTTATTGTGTCCACAAGTCGAGCTAGTTACAGCTAACCAATCTTAGATACACCATCGACTATTGCAGTTTGTGAGCCTCATGGCAAGCTGTACTACCCACGTGGTGAATTGATCTGAAAGACCGGATAATACTCGCGTAGAGCCCCTCCACTGACTAGACGATCGTTTCAGCGCTAGTCAGACCCTGACTAGATGAGCCTGCCTCGCAGTGAAGCCCCTCTGAGCGTCAGAAGTATACCAAAGGTATTTGCATTGGTCTTGAACCATTTTAGCACCCGTTTATATGTGTTCTGAGCGAGTACAACGAGGTAGGTGTCGAGACCCTCTCTACATCGCCCGCCGACCGCTGATGAAAGGCTTCAGCCACCGTCCGCTTAGTCAGCCTCGGGGATCTCGGCGACGACATTTGTGCCAGCCGTCCTATAGCGTTCTCCTCCTCTTGTTCGTTCTGTATCCGGTAATAAATTAAAAATAGATTTGTATTATATAACACTGCACGTGCGCCCTAGTAAAGGAGGAGCGAGAACGCTAAGGACGGATGGTTTAGGAGCCTGTGTCAGTGCCAGCGTGGAATCCGAATTAGTATCCGAATTCCAGGAGCTGATAATCACGTGATTTGACGCGCCGCTGTAATTATTAAATTAACGCGTCTGTGGCATTGTATAAATTAGGTAATTTCTGCGGTCAGTTCTCCGGCTAGCGCTGTCGTAAAAACACCATCGAATACGTCTTCATTCTCTCTGCTATGTCAGACACTATTGACCTGACGCGGTCTGATAATGACCAGGATGACGAGACGGTTGCTCAGCTATATGCAGCCATCGAGAGCGCCGCCGAGGAGCGTGTACGGGACCTCATGGTGACTCTCGCGTCGGACGTGCCAGCAGCTAGGCAGCTATTGCTACGCGCGCTGGTCCCTGAGAATGGGCAGAACATGGGGAACGAGAATAGGACTGGGAACGGGGTGGTTAGGAGGGCCGAAGTAAGGTGGGAGACATGCAAGAACTGCGGGGAAGAGTATGATGCCAACGAGGAGAGGGAATGTGTCTACCACCCTGGTAGGTTATGAATCTATGTTAATACTATTGATAGGCGTCTACCTACATTGATGACGGGTGCGCGTCGATGATTGGGCCGTCTGAACGTGAACTATGCAGCGTTCGTCGACTGGGACGAAGATGTGCACGGGGAGATGGATACAAAACGAAACCGAAGAGACTACCCGGAGAATTTTACTTGGACCTGTTGTAAGAGGGACGGCAGAAAAGACGGCTGCAGGGAGGACGTACATGCTGTCGGGGGAAGGAAGAAGGTTCGGCGGCATTGAAGCTGGGGCCGGTGTCATGCCACAAGCAGGCTGTCACATTACCCTCCAAACTATATGTTAGTAGGGAATTGATCCATTTTACTCCGCATCATGGGCTGATCAACTAGTTTGGGCGCTGATTCGCTGGGTCTACATTCATTCAGGACAATGCTGCTTACGCATGTCGGGCATATGAACATCTATATCAGGACTCGTCCGTGTGCCAGTGCATAGGTGTATATTTTATAAGTGTGTAATGACGTCGTAATAAGTTGGTTACGGCCCGCACGTTTCCTGCATCTGCGAGGGAGACGCGAGAATGGCGTCTACATAACCGCCCAAGTACTATAAGCGATCCTATGCAACCGTTGACAATCAGCAACTCGACGTTGCCAATCATGTATCCGTTCAGGTTAGCCTTCCGAACACCAATCCTCGTATGTTCTGCGTTATGTTCTGCGCGCATTAATTGCGAACACCCTAGCACGATGCTCCATGTCATCAATCGCATCGATGCACGCGTAACTCGTAGCTCCCGGAATCCTGTGACAGAAGAATTCCGCGTCATTTTCTTCCCCGACGAGCAGGACAGAGATAAGGTTTCCGATGAAAGCGTGCGGTCGCAAGCTATGCGACTTCTGGAAGATGAAACGAAGGCAAACAGCGGGGAGCTAACAGGGCAGGAGACGTTCGAGCAGTTCATGTCAGGCATCGACGCCACGCGGGCCGCGAACCGCGCGTCGCGGGAGAAAGCGTTCCTACACTGGCAGATGCAGAACGCTCAGGACATCGAGTACATCATAAATCGACAGGGCCGGAACGAGCTGTTCGACGAGCGGATGACCCTGTACGAGAACATCGTCAAGCAACAGCTCTCTGTGCAGGATGCTCGGTCCTCTGGGTACCTCGCCATGATGATGACTGCCATGGACAAGGCGGACCGGATGCAGGTGGATGCCTCTTCCCATATGAAGGAGCACATCCGCGAGATGTTTGTTACGGCTATTCGCCCTCGCGTGGAGCAGGCCGACCAAATCTTCGTACAGACATGCAGGAATGGCGGCGGAGGCTACAAGCGTTCCTTAGAGATGTGCGGGGATATGAGGCTGTAACACTGTTGACGAGCGCGCGGGAAATACCGCCTCTTTCGTTCAAGCAGCATCACAATGCTTCATGGCCAGGGACATCGCATCCGAGTCCGCCGAGCCTAGAGACGTCGCCCGTAGACCCACAACAAGATGATATCTGGGACGCTCTCGAACATATTTCTGAAGGGAGTCCCTCTATCAAGGAGCCTGAACCAAGTCTGGATGAACTTAATTGGGGTACCGTGGGCAACGACAAGGAGACGCCGCCCCGCCCACCCCAGCTGTCTGCTGCAGCGCTGGTTCCGACGTCCCAGAAGCAAGGTGTAACTTCCCAAGTTCCTCCTACTCATGACCTCTCTTCCCTCAACCAAATCTTCAGGGAAAGCGAGCGCCAGCCCAAGAGAAATTTCTGAAGGCTGAGTCCACCCGAGAGGAGCGTTGGAAATTGGCAGAGGAACGGCGGAAGTGCTGCCAGCGTCTTCGCATCTTATGCTCCTTCCGAGTGGCATGAGTTCCGTCGACCGGCGGGGCTGCCATATCTCCTCCCTCAGGTATTGGGCGCGACTGAAAGAGGTAAGTGGCAGCGAAGATGGTCTCGACGCCCTTGACCGATCACCTTGTCAGCATCGGTTCTCCTTATGTGATTGTCACTATTCACGCTGCGACTTACCACTCCAGCTGTAGGCTCGGCTGGCTCTTGTGATTCTTCGGATGAAATACTTGCCAACGGCGATAGCGAGGACGGTGTCACCTGACTCCGTTCCGGTAGTAAGTTCCACTCGAATCTCGGCCATCCTGAAGTTGGTATAACTTCCGGTGGTGAGGGCCGCTCAGGAATCGGGATAGGTTTAAGGATAGGTTTAGGTCCCGTTGGTAAGCACCGCTCGTCCTCCACCCAGTCACTATATTCCAACAGTGAATTGGAAGGATCTGCTTGTTTCTTCCGCTTCTCTTCCACCCATGCCTCATATGCCTTGACAATATTGTCGACCATAGCTTTTGCCATCCCCGCCAGGTCTCCGTTAAGGCGCCGCGCGGACGAATATTCAGAATCTGTCCGCGGATCCCACATCTTGAAGAGAGTCTGCCAGCCGTGTAGAGCCATATCAAAATCCGCCTGTCTTTTCCGCTTTCTCCATGCCTTTTGGATTCCCGGCCCTGGAAGGAAGAGTTGTGGGACGACCTCTGCTTTTCCAGTTCACGCTTTATCCTCTGGAATACCTCGTTGAATGCGGTCTCCCTGTCATCTACCTGTTCCTTGTTTGAGGAAGCGCAACGTGGTCGAGAAACTCAGATCACCACGAGCGCGAAGAGGCGCCAGCAGGAGTTTAACCTCGCAGAACGCGAACGGCGGGACCGGTTCTCTGAAGACCAACGACGCCGGCGGGAAGCATGGCACGCACTACAATCGTTCCACGAAGCAAGTTCCGCTCGTGACCGACAGACGTGGCAACGCAAGTTCCTGCAGTCGGAAGAGCAGCGGGCCGAAGCATTACGGTTGGCGCAGGCTTGTTGGAAGACCAGCTTTTCTTCGCTCCTCGCCTGCCGAAATTTGGGCTGCGCCGAAATGCAGAAACGCCGTGAGCAGAAGCTTTCCGCCGGAGTCGCGGACGAGCAGGTCATGTATCGAGCCTGGGAGCAAACTATGCTTGTGTGTATCGCAGGATGGGGAACCAACGTGTCTCAGAGACTTGACCAGGATAGGCGGGAACGAGCAGAGGAATTTGAAGCCCGCATCAGTCATTAGTGAGTCCTGGAAGAGAGGGTTCAAATTATATCATATTAGTTTCGATTATTATGGTTATTATCATTCTGTAAAATCAGACAAGATTGAGGGAATAATTAACTAGGGAGGGTTTTCCTGATGTCACGATCAACGAGTCCAAAGAGGGATTTTAGTGACAGGTGGTTGATCGAGGACCTCAGCAATATCCTTGCTCTTGTATACGTTACCCAGCCACTCCCGCTGCCAGAAAGCGGGCATACAAAACTAGTCAGTACAGTATTGCTCATTATCCTCTGCCAGTGAGGGACGCACCGCTGGGAATCACTCATCCGAAATGTGACATGCATAGGTGCTGGCAGTGTCTGTTCGAAAAGGCGCAAATTTACCGAGAAGCCCGATTCGCGCAAGATCTCGGGAACTTGAAGGCTTCAGCAAGTTTCGCGGGGCTCGAGCGACTCGATTCTCGGATGCCCAGCAGAATCGGCGAGGAGCGCGGCGCGCTCTACGGCTCTCGCAGGGAATTCGTCTGGGCACGCAACGAGCGGACACTGCAGCCGGAATTCGCATGCTTGGAAGAGCAGCGGGCACAAGGGTTTGAGATGACACAGGCGAATCAGGAGACGAAGGTTTCCTGGTTCTTAGACCGCCAGCATTTAAGCTACACTAAGTCGTAGCAGGAACGCAAGGGCTGCATCTGCAGTAACGTCGCTGAGGACGAAGGGTGATATCGAGAGTGTGAGCCAGGGATGCTCATGTTTGTCGTAGACTTGAAGTAGAGTGGCAGCTGGATGAAGACTCGGACGGGTAGTGAATGGCACGGGTATACCCCCGGGCGTCCGAGGGCATACCTGTACCCGTACCCGCGCTCAACCCGTGTCGACGGGTCGGGTACGGGTAGGTAGGGGTTGGGTCACGGGTTTCGGTTTCAAAACTGTGTTTGCTCGTGCGCCCGTACCTGTCAGTACCCATACCCGCGACCCGCACGGGTTCTTCGAACCCATGCTTTTTCACTAGACGGGCGTCAGAGCTTACACGAGCTCGAGGGGCATGTCGCCAAGCTGAGTGCTCGCCAATGAGGAGACGGCGTGCGGTGCCCTCGACTCACTGGTCTTCCATGTCAGATCTGTGCTTGGAAACTAAAAGTAGATTGTATTGATAACCCTCATCGAGCGCTCCTGTGGCAAACACGTGGCATTTTGGGAGAGGGGGGGCGCTGAAGCAGTACTCGCTGGATCGCATGGAGGAAATGGATATCCTGTGAAACAGCAGAGACTGAACTAGAGAAGTCGCTTGGAGGTACTGCAAGACGGATGGCACGGCAGAGACGATGGTTTCACGTAAGACGCCGCCCTAGATAGAAAAGATCGAAACGCCGGTGAGACTGAGTGTGAGAGCGACACTGACCTGGCACGGCTGGAGGGGAATCGGTCTATTCTGAGATGGTCCCCGTATGTAGCATTGTTTGATTAATTGTTCAGAGACTACATACCTATTTCGTCAAGTCTGCATTTAGCCATACTGCAACGCCGGCTCTACTGTTGAAACCATGAACGTATCTCTGGACTCGGAATATGGGCGTCTATCGGATTTCATCTCAGATAAATTGAACATGGGGAACACAACACCCGTCGCCGCTTGACCTCCAAGTTGGATGCTTGGCTTGCCACAGATATCGATCAATCACGAGGCTTTGGTATGCACCGCCTACTGTGAGTGCCAGCTCGATATTATTCATAAATCCCGGGACCAACATACACCACTGACGACTCACGACTCCAGTGTACCGAAGAGCAGACCTCTCCCCGTGCCAGCGAGAAATGAAGAGGCCAGACGGCCTGCGTCACGAGAAGCATTCCTCCGGGACCAGGAGAACAGAGATAAATGTTTCAAAGAAAGTATGCGGCAGCATGCCCTGCGATTCTTGGAAGATTCATCAAAGGCCGATTCCGCGGAGGTTGCCAGGCAGGGAAAGTTTATGCTTGACTTCGAAAATACCTGGGTTATGAAACTCGGGTACTATGATAAGGCATTTCAACGAATGCAAGGCTCTCAGGAACGCAAATACCTCCATAGCAGGCAGAGGAGGGACGGGGTGTTTGATAAGAGTGTGTCCATCTGGGAAACAGTCATTGGGCAGCAGCTCTCCACTCAGAAGGCTCGGTCTGCTTCGTTTCTCGCCTCATGGGAGACGGTGGGCAATATGATCCAAGAAATGCATATGCAAACCTTCTCTCATTGGAAGAGGCGACTGGAAGAGGTGTTTGATACAGTTGTCCAGCCTTTAGTGCGGAATTATGATGAAATCTGCAAAGCTGACATGCAGGAATGGGCCACAAGGATACAAGTGAGTGAGACAAGGATATGAGAGTATAAACCCACTGACAAGTATGAATGAATAACCTCTGGCAGATGGCTGAGTCTTCCCAGAGCATCAACCACCCTGTAGTGATGGAGCCTCTAACACACCAGGAATATTATGAGCATATTCCAGTTCCAAACTGGAACTATGAGCAGAAATCATCACCCACAATGGACCCCTACAGCTTGACTATGCCAGACAGTGAGCCATTGTCACCAGCATCAACTTCAGCTGCAGCTGGGGTTCCGAAGAAGGGCAAAGAGTCCAGCCTTTTACCATCTGTACCCCCTGCTCCTCCAATTCAAATGCCACAAAATAAACATCTACTCACTCCAGCCTCTCATAAAACCAAGATCAGCAAGAAGGCCCCCATTGACTCCTTATCCCTCAAAAAAGAATTTCAGCAATACCAAGATTGGAACCAAGAGGAATTCGTCAAGGCTGAGGATTCCCGTGATGAAGGCTGGAAGCATGCAGAAAGACGGAGGAATGAAGGAGAAACTCACAGGGCAGTGGTGTTTGGTGAGGTGTTCAACAAGATGAAGGAGGAGCTCGACAGGCAGAGGTCCTTCTACCACAATTCTTTCCAGGGCCTTGAAACAGAAAGGAACACAGAAGATAAGACAAGACAAGCATATTTTGCAGCGGAATTGCGCAGCTGGAGCCACATCTTCAGAGTAATGGAGTCCCGAAGAGATTCTGAGTACTCTGTCTTGTGCAGACTTCACCAGGACCTCTTGGCGAGAATCAGAACCATGGTCAGTGATATGATGAAGGCATTTGAAGAATGGGTAAAGGCAAGGCTTGAAAGGCAAAAGGGTGCTTTCAGAATGTTTTTACCTACAGAGGAGTCACCGATGCCTGGGATGATGCCTGGCTTGGATGGTGACCCGGGATGGTTCCCACATGCACAGCCACACACAGTGAGCACAGGCTCTGCGGCGCCATCACTGCCGAAGAAGGTACCCGAGCACCCTATACAATACGAGCATACATCCGGAGTGGTAAGTCACACTGGCAACAACATAGCGCGAAATTATTATGGCCCATGAAGCTGACTATAGGTGATGGCTCCAGGGCATTAGAAACATCTTCGCTCCTGTGCATATCCATAGGCCCCTTGAAATACCGCGGAGCGGCGATATGGCATTTTTTCATGACAGTCCTTCCGCTGAGGAGAAGCACGAGACCTACAGTCGCTTCCAGCGACTTTTTGAAGACGCGCAACGTCGTCGAGAAATCCAGTTCGCCACGAGCTCAAGGGGGCGTCGCCGAGAGTTCGAGCTCGCCGAAGCCGAGCGACGGGACTGGTTCTCTCGGGGCCAACGGGAACGCAGGGAGGCGCAGCGTAGACTACAGACCACCCAAGAAATATGTTTCACCCACGACCAGCAAGCACGGCGTCTTGGGTTCATCACCTCAGAGGAGAGGCGGACTAGGAAGTTCGAAGCAGCGCAGGCCCGTCGAGATGCAGCCTTCTTTTCGTATATTGCCCGACAGCAATCTGATTACAAGAAAACGCAAAAAGACCGTGAAGAGATGCTTATGCAGGAAGTTGGGACACAACAAACCCAGTATCAGGCTTGGGAAACCCATGTGCTTCTGTTCATCGCGGACTGGGGAGCACGCTTGTCCAAGAGTCTGGAGACGGATAGGCAGGATCGGGTGAGGGCAGTCGAAGGGCATATCTCTAAGCTGGTACGTGTGCCGGTGAACTCGGGGAAAGACCTTGCAATCCAAATAATTCGCGCGTGCCTTCACAGTCCTCTCATGCAGCTGCACATGGGACAGAATAGCGGAAGGATGAGACTTGCCAGAGAAGTGGCAGTGGCTGAATCACGAGTTCTGAGGTACGACGAAGGGCTCACATTCTGATCCGAGTCGTCCACCTCCCAGCTTAGGTTTTAACCTCGTGCTGAGATGGGCATTAACGGCGTGATGGATTCGCGGCGGGGAGGTCATGGTTTCAATACTCTCACGGGTCGATTTGTGGGGATAGCTATTGGGAAACATTGAGATTCGGAAAGACGAGCATAGATACACCTCCGATAACGTCAGATAGATTTCGACTCGCCGAAGATCACAGCACCGAAACATCGTCTCTCATCTGATCTCTTCGCCTTCCCTCATCTTCCCTCTATGCACGGACCTCTTTGAACGCCCACATACTAACCGCCAGTGCTCGCGCACCGCTATTCATGCGCCGACGCCGATGGCGCGGAGGTACTCGCCCCTGATGGGGTTCGCGTCCGTCTCGTGTCCGCGGTTGTACGGCGTCCACTTGGGCTCGTCCTGCCGCGGCAACGCTTCGGTGAGCAAGACGAACCCTTGAATGAGGTGAGTGCGCGCACCTTGAACAAGCGCATCGCGCGGATGCGGTCGGCCTCGTCGAGCGTGAAGCGGTGGTAGATGCCGGCGGGAAGGACGATCATGTCGCCCGGGTGCATCGCGATGCGGATCCAGTTGTCCGTCGGGTGCTCTGGCCGGGTCGCGTGAGCGGGGATCAGGCCTGGTTGCGACGAGGGCACGCACCGCGCACGTCGAAGAAGCCGCTGCCGGCGAGGATGTACCGGATCTCCTCGTCCTCGTGCATATGCCTGTCCACGCCGCCGTCAACACCCCGCGCCCGCCGCACGCAACACGGGACCACTCACTCCTCGAAGAACATCTTGATCTTGCTCTCGTACGCCGCGCCCAGCCCCTGCCTGCTCACATCGATCACATCGCGGTTCTTGTAGTCCCTCTCCCTCGCGATCCTATCCACGGCTTCCTCGTCGGGCTCGCCGCTGGGCGAGACGGGGATGGACCAGTAGTGCACGCCGAGCGCGGAGAGCTTTTCGAGGAGGACGCTCTTGCCCGAGTCGTGCGGGAGGCGCTGGTCGCCGGGGACGTTGTCGAAGTAGTATGCGCGCATCGTCTGCGGTGGTGAGGAGAGAATCGAGGGTGGATTAGTTACATGGGAGGACGCGGAGCGGGATGGGGAAAGATCTGGAGAGATCTGCGATGGCGCCATCACTGATTCTGATGGCTTGCGAAAACTCACGACTTGATTGGCTCAGGGGTCACGTGTGGGGCGCGTCGCTAATTAACGCGTCGGTGGCGCAGAGATATATCTCGAAAATTATTACCAAGTACACGCTTATTTACGCGGACTCTTTCCACCACATGAGGTCAATACCAGTACCATTGTTCGCGAGACTCGACTCTTTGCTTGCGCTTCGTATTCCTTCCGTACGTACTATTATAAGGAGGCCCCTTTCCCGCGCTCTCGTACTGCGCCCGTTAGGTTGAGGTACTCTGGATGTGCGCGTGTCGTACGATGGGAGTGTACGTCTGGGCCGCATCAGGGTCGGGTCGATGCTCGGTGCTTGGTGTCCGGTCTCAGCGCTGGTGGGACAGACAATCTGGAGTTACCATGCAGGACGACAAGTGTGCGGCGTCGGTGGGGCACCGGTTCTCCAGCACGCACCGACGCGGCCGCCGGAAAGGCACCACGTACGACTATGCGTGCGTCTCCTGCCGTCGTGCATGCTCAGCGGGTTCAAACGCCAGGCGGGGCTCGCAGGGTTCCCTGGTCCCGCGCGAGGCGTCTTCTCGACTTTCGTGGGGTACGTGTGCGGCCGAGCGCGCGGAGTATGCGCTCGTAGTTACGATCGCACTGATCATGACACCCCGCTTCGCTCCTCGACTCGCTCAGTGAGAATGCAGTGCGGCAACGCTTCCTCGACCTTGCCCACCCGGTGTTGTCGTACTGGGGCCCGGCGTCGCGTCGTCTCGTTCCTTCCTGCCCTCGCTCCTGCCCCCGAAACCTCTGTTGCTCGTGAGATCTGTCAGTGTACACCAGGCCATGGCGTCAATGTCACCCCCCGCTTCTACTTATAGTTGCGAATGACACTGTGCACGAGCACAGCTGCTATCACATGCTTACACCCAAGCCTTCCCGCGTTCCCTTTGCGTTCGTGAGAGGATGGGTGATGCGATAGGATAGATGATCTGCGAGTGAGATATTCTCGCTACGAGGAGATAGGTCACCGCTGGCCATTGTATACTGCGACGCACCGTGCTTGGAGCCAGACGCGAGACGGTGGTATTAGACACTGGCAGGCACGAGCCCACTTCGGATCCCCGGGGCCGCTACTGTATGGTGGCGGTGATAAACAGGCTGGTGTGTCCTATTTGCATCCTATTTGCGTATACGTACTTGCCTCTGACAGGGATGCGTGCTGCCTTATTTCGTATCGACCCTGAGACTGACTCCAGAGAACGTTGGTCGCCGGTCAGGAATCACTGTCATCTGTGCGCCGCGCGTTTCCCAAGCCCGCATAAGAAAGTGCAATCCTCCCTACAAAGTTAAGGACGCGAGTCGCTATAAATGGAAGGTCGAGGCACTGTGCGGTAACCCCGCAGCGTCGCGAGGGTACTTCGTCTGAAGTCGGGGCGACTCGCTTCGGAATGGGAGTCCTAAGGCGGTGAGGAGGTTGTGTACTCACTGCAATTCATTCGTACACCGGTAACACCACCTCCCATGATCATGAGAAGTTGAATGGTTTTGTATATCAGTACACATGTAGTTTTAACTTTTTGAAACTGAACCCCAAAGTATAATACCAAGTAAAGGCTTTGTGTATAGATTGGCCCTTATCTGGACTCAAAGTGCCACAATGTCATCTATCGGCGCCATGGAATGACTGCATTATGAGACAGAACACAATAAAATTTCCAAGTTGCATTACAGAGTGAAGACAATTAGAAAGGCATACATCATCACAAGTCTAAAATATTGTCCGTGGCCGGGATTGAACCTCGAGCTCAAATCACCACATCTGAAGTAACCCACCACATTAACCGCTGCACTAGCGAGATGCTGGAAATATTCAATGCTGAGATAATATGATAGTCGGGCGACCGTCTGGGTGCATCCGCTGCAATGGCTCCGCGTCCACTTTGCGAGCCGCTGCGCGACTCGCTTACATAATCTGCGTCCTCAACTTTGTAGGGAGGATTGCATTTCGTGCCCGCATATAAGACAGATGCGCGTCTGCTTTGGGGCGTCAGGCTTATGGTTGTGGACCGATCCATATAAGCTAAAGACCGGTGGTTTGCTCACAGGGCGCCAGACTCGATATGCGGACCTACCTCGAGCGCGTCGTGCTATGCTACGCGGCCCTCTCTTCGTATGGCAGCGCTTCCAAGATAGAGCGCGATGGAGGTGTGCACCCCAGGGCGGGTGTTTCGTCCTCCGTATGCTCCCAGATCAGCGCGGCGCTCTCGTCGGCATCGGATGTCTATTACTCTGGTACGCATACGAGCACCGGCCTGTGGTGCTTGAGCTCACACTCAACGCACAGGCTCGACCAACTACTCGGCAGACAACTCCCACTTCTTCTCGTCCAGCGCGCTGGCCTCCGCATGCACCGTCGAACCCGGGACTGCGTCCGACGTCGGTAAGATCGTAAGCGCCCTTCCTCCCCTCCCTCCCGGCCGTTCCGTGCCCAACTGCGTTCTCCGGCAGCTCCTGATCCTCGGCGCGACGAACACGCCCTTTGCCGTACGCCCCCCTTCCTCCCATCCACTCACCCGGGGTCCTCTACTCACACGGAAACCCGCCTGTCCTCCCCCGGCGCAGGTCAAAGCCGGCGGGCACTCCACGAACCCCGACTTCTCCTCCACCCCCGGCGTGCTGCTCGCCACGCGCCGCTTCGCCACCGTGGCCTACCACGCCTCCACGTCCACCGCGGACGTCGGCGCGGGACTGGTGTGGGACGCCGTCTACGCGGCGCTGCAGCCGCACGGCGTCGGCGCGGGTGTCGGGGATCGGCGTTGCGGGGTTCGCTCTGGGCGGAGGTGCGCTGGCCAGTGTACTCGTGGAGGATCGAGGAACCTTATGGGGTGGGTGGTCAAGGGTACTCGTGGCTGACGGGCCAGTATGGGCTGGCGGTGGATAACGTCGTCGGGTACGAGCTCGTTCTGCCGGACGGACGCGTGTTGGACGTCGCGGAGGAGTCGTACCCGGATTTGATGTTTGCGCTGAGGGTGCGTACGCCCAACACAGTTTCGTGGAATGGTGTCAGTGTCCGTGCTCATGACTCGGACACCGCGTTGCGCGCAGGGCGGGTACAACAACTTCGTGCGTATCACCTACTATCGATATCTGGTGTTGAGTGCGTTGGTACATGACAGGGCGTCGTCACCCGCTTCACGCTGAAGACCTACCCGATGGGTCAGATCTGGGTCAGTCAGTCAGTCGTCAGTTAAACTTCAACTCATCTGAACGTTGAACCCCTTTCTATACAGGGCGGGGTGCTGACCTACGCGGCGGACACCTTCCCCCAGCTAGCCCAGGTCGTCGCCGACTTTTCGGCGAGCAATACCGACCCGAAGGCGCAAATTATCACGACGTACTACTACGCCGAGGGCTCCGTGCGTCTCCTCTCCCTCTCCCTCCCCTGTGCTCTACGACCGCTGAGTGAACTTCGCTGCTCAATCTGCAGGCGGCGGCCTCGCAAATCCTGTTCTACGACGCCCCGACACCACCACCGGGGGTACTCGACGCGTTCCTGGCGCTCCCGTCTCTCGCGCGGGAGCTGGGCACGATGGATCTCCTGGATTTTATCCGGCTGCCGCCGTCGAACGGCACCGCCGACGTCAGGTATGTTGGGTGCGCTCAGGCTGCCGGCAGTGCGCGCCCACTGGTAATCCGCCGTGTCACGCAGGGGCGCCTACCACAGGACCCCTGAAAATACCGATAGATGCCGGAGCCAGTCCGGACAAAAAAAGCGCTTCGGGCGAGGGACGCCGGAGCCAGTCCGGACGTAAGTAGGGGTCTCAGCCGACCAACCCGGTTTTTTAGTCCGGACACCAACGGCACCCCAGCAGTGAGGCCGGTTGTAGTCCGGACATGGTCAGCAGCCCGCCACTTCGTCGCGACTATACATTATCATTACCCGGTATGGTATTTCTCACCGAATAAGGATAGACATGCCTCCCCTGTAGTCGTGAACCCTCGGGTACCCCTTATTTGCACGGAATTATACAGTTTGTAGTATCACGCTGAAATCCGGAGGCACACATGGAAGACACAGCTGGGTGCCGGATGCCTCCATAATCGCGGCCGTATCGTATCTCGCCGTTAAGGGCTACGAAGCCATGAACGGGCGGGTATTTCGCGCTGTCTCTCAGACCCTGGCAATGCTCAATGCCTGCCGAATCACTCATTTGCCTGCCACGTCTTTTCTTTGCATGCTGGAGATCTCAAGCCTGAAGGCTCTTCCGTTGTCTATTGGATTTTCTACCTCAGACTATGCACATTTCAGATTTTCATACATACACCCTTGTATCTACAGTCGACTCTGTCTTAACCCATACCTGTCATAACCCATAACCTGTAATAACCCATAGGTTTTTGGCTTCCACCGACATGGTAGATAGTAAAAACCCATAAGTCTGCCGTATCCCATAACCCATAGCTTTCTGAAGGGTCATAACCCATAAAACAACCTATATTAGGAAGGTACAGGTCTTCCTTCTCACGAGAATCTGGACCATCTGAACCCTTAATTTTTGGTTCTCGTGGTATTTCAGAAGATAACCCATACCAGACTCAAGATTCCGTATCTAAACGGTGTCATAAACGACGTCCGGCCTATACCGGATAGGCTGTCTGTCACGTGTACTAGGTAGTCACACAATGTCACACATTCTGGTAACCCATAGTCTGCAGAAACCCATAACTT